CAAGCAGAAGACGTCCTCTGCCACTCTGTTCGGGTCCAGTGCTCTGATGGGACCCCGCCCGCTCCGGCGCACCTTTGACACCTTCCCGAACATCAAATAGATGGTGTTCGGATCCTCAGCTCGCTGTTCCTCTTCCGTTGTTGAGATGACTCCACCTGCTTCTCCTTTGGTTCATACTGCCTTCACATCTCCAAGGACAGCACCGCATTCACAACGAGCTGAAAATTCTTTGCGCTCGCTTTTTTCACCTGGCAGGTCGTCACACTTTGTCAGATCGCCGTGCCATTCGCCTTCCGCTCTCATCCATGCTCCATCATGCAGTCGACCAAACCCTCGAATATCATACTTCCACACCCTCGCCCTCAATACCTACCTTCCCAGCAGGGATCCGTCTGAATCCCTCGAAGACAGAACTGAATGTGCGTGTGTGCACCCGTCCAAAGAAGGGCAAGGCGTAGGAGTTCAACTTCTTGTCCTCGGAGCGATCAGCAGCTCGAGCTTGATTTCACAAAGTGGACGCCGTTGCGTCGGTCATGCGATCAGGGAATGAGTCGGGGAAGGATCGGACGCAACCATGTGATGACACTTGACAGAGACCGCGACCCATCGTGGCTTCAAGTTCTCCATCTTTGGCCTGAGCATAAACCCACAATGTCAATCGGCCCTACTCCATCAAAGCAACGACAAGTTTTCGCCTTTCGCTGTTGTGCACGTACTCGACTGAAACTCTCCTGAAGGAATCCGGCATTAGTCTCGATGCTGCAATTCGAAGTTGCTCATCCGACGGAATCACTCCAGGGTCCTTGGGCTGTCTCCAAAAACGTTGGTTTCGTACCCGATTTTTACGATGGTCTTCCGCGGCCTGCTTGGGTTCGTCGATGTCCATCGTGCTAGTTCTGCAAACTCATGCCAAAGAACCCGATGTGCCCCACCGTTTGGGCCACTGGGCCTGAGAGGTAGACCACGGAGCCATTCCCCGCGCTTCATCAGCTCCTCTACCTGCCGTGGCGACGTGGCGAAGCGAAGCTGTGCCGAGCTCTGCCTGTCTCTGACGCTCGGGGGTCTGGCATCCGCCCCACTGTCGTAGAGGGTGAAGAGAGTCCCCCAGAAGTTTGGCACCACACTGCCGATGTATTCCTAGTCACTGCTTTTCTGTTCTTGCAGGTCAACTCAAAACCCCGGGCAGAGCATGGCCTGGCAGTGCTCCGACTTTTCTGGACCGGCTGCCTCCCCCACACTCGACGCTTGTTGCACAGCTTCCTAGTTAGTTCACTTTGCCTCCGGCTCTTAGTATCTCTGGATGCTGCCTTGTGGGCATAGATTCGGCAAGGACTTTGTTCGTCTTCCCTTCAGCGAGCGCTGGTGTCGGTGTGGTGGCGTTGCATGTTCTCTCCCTAGTGAACTTTACTGCAAGGACAAATTCGCCTCTGTGCCGTCATCAGAATCTCGTCCGAATGGTCCAGACGCAGCCTGGCAAAGCATGTTTGTTGCTTAGCGACGACCTAGGGGACATTCAATGTCGAGAAGCTCGTAGAAGTGGGGATAGCCCCCATCCTCAGAACGCACCCGGCGTACCTCGAAAGCAACACGGTTTATCACGTTTTCTTGCATCCAGGGAACCTGCCGCTGCCTGGCAGAGAGTGTAGCAGTCTGTGGAGGTGAGCCACTGCCTGAGAAGGGCAGCCGAGTCGGCCACGAAGAAAGGGCGCCGAGCCACCGGCCTGTGCTTTGCAGCAATGTCTTCCTCCAAAGCCTGCGTCGTAAAGTGCAGATCAAGGCTGGACATTGCCGCGTAACTGAAAGCACCAGGCCTTGGAAAGAACTTTCAAGGGTGTTTTGCAGATCGTCCGGTGTGCCAGATACCCGCCTGTCAGTGAGAAAAACTACACTTCAGGAGAATGCTAGTAAGGGATAAGGGGCCGTCCGCAGATGTGAGATACGAATTCTGAGGTGATTCCCGGCCGGTCTAGAAATTGCCAGATTCATGCACGGACTGTCAAAATGATGCGTAAAATGAGGAAACTCTCAGTCGTGATTATCTTCCGGAGCCTTTCAGAAGTCGGACAGGGTTCGCTCCCTGCAGCCATTCTTCTGGCACCTGGCGATGGCCCGAAAGTATCAGCTCAGGGAGCCACCACTTCGGCACCGCCTTGTCTTTCCCACATTGTCGGCACGAACAACTCCAAGATACTGAGACTGCGCTCTGCTGGACGCGGCTTTGATGACTCATCGGCTGCTTAGCTCGAGGTAGTCAAAAACACGTGCCAGATGCACCCCTGTAGGACCACACAGTTCTTCACGGATACGCCTTCGAAAGCGCACAAGTACAACTACTAGTCGAGACAGTCTAGCCGACAGTCTGCAAGCCTTGGAATGAGCTGAGGCTTGGGCCAGTAGGCATGTCTGAGAAGCACCTCATCTCCAATGGCCTTGTTAGGTCGTCACTGGAACTGCTACTGAATCTGCACCGTCGTGAGGTGCAAAGAAACTATGTTTACGAGCATCACCGAACAACTCAACAGTAACGGCAACGCGCTTCGCTTCTTGAGCAGAAACTTGCAGCACCCTGAGATTTCGGCATGACCAACGGCCAGCACCAAGGCCACCTGCGCTTAATTACGAGCATAGCCAACATGGTGTGAGTGCCTACGTCTGGGCTCCAAGCCATTGTGGGGTCCGTGTCTTGGAGCACCAATTCACGGCATGCCTGCAATGAGAGGGGCCCGACAGGACAACTCGTTTCAATTCTGCCACAACCCACCGCCAGCTTTGCAGGAAAGTCTAACTTGAGAAGAGGGCCACGAAACCTAGAGCAAACAAACTGAACAGAGTTGCTAGAGCTCGTCATGGCGCGCGTGCTCGACAGGGTGGACGGAAGCAAGTAGACGCACTCGGCTCCATAAAGACAGAGGCAACTGGCGTGGTGCTCGAATCTTCCAGGTCGACACCCTAAACATGCGCAGACAGTAGTTGCACTTACTAACCCATTCAAGGCTAGCGAACTAAACCTGCGGACATATGCACAACACGAAGAAGTCTACAGCAATGTCAATGAACAAAGTGCACACTCGCAATGCAGCAGTTCGAGCAATCGCTATGTCGCTGAAACAGATTGACCTCAAGGGGGGTGGAAGGAAGCTTTGGTGGGGAGGGAGGCCCCCCCCCGGCAATGCACAGCCACCTTGTGTTGGGGTGGCGGGGGGGCTCCCTGGTGCCTCTGCATCAAGATGCATCAAGCAAGTACGTGGTGGGCCCTCCCTCCGGCCGGACCAAAGACCAAATAAGCTCCCAGGCGCGATTTTGAGCTGGTCACTACTACTTTTCGTAAACGACTTCTCCCAGAAGCTCCACAGAGCTAGCTCTAGCTCTCGTGATCAGTCACGCAAGACACGACAGCAGAACCTCGATGACCTCTCCGAGCTCGAGCACCACAGCCCAAAGAAGGATCGTGAAGAGTTGGGTCCCTACCTGTCCATGCTAACTAGGCCGAATCACTCATGTCATGCACACTCTCTTGGAGGCTCCCCCTGTCTCTCCTCCCGCTTCCCCCTCGAGGCATTGAGACAGATGAGCTGACGCAGCGCTCAGGATAGTGACTTTGTTAGTTGTTGGCTGGTTGAGGACGTAACCATCTTGGCAGCCGCCACCGCGCTTTGGACGGTCATCGTGCCCTGCGCACCGTGTAGAGTCCGTACAGTCTGACCTGATCATTCCACGAAAGAACGGTAAAATGGGGACCGCGCGACGGGTGCGGCAAAATCCAAGCCTGGGCGAGCTTCCGTCAGTCTCAGCCCAAAGGGGGCAAGCCGAGTCGTTGGGCCATAACCGCATCAGCTGAGCACAGAGCACTGCAGGAGACTCGCAGGTGACAGTAGCTTCTGACCTCGAATGCATAAACCAGGACGCACTTATACATGCCTTCAAATATAGGTCACACACACATTCCCCCTGCACGTCAGTGTACGAATGAACCGAAACACTGGTGCCCGCCTGCTCCCTGCGAAGGCAGAGACAATTCCAAGCTTCGCGGGGCGAAACTGGCACAGTCAAAGCAGCAAACAGCCAAGCAGCACATGCAAAGAACACGAGGTCGAAGCACCCAATCAGTGGTGACTCACTACGCAGAAGTGCCCTCACGGACTGGAATGACTGGCATCGGCTACATGACACTCTCCACGCAATTCGGCACTGTCGCTCCCTGTCCAAGGGCACCACATCTTGCATGACACGCTTCCAACACCGTGCGACCTTCAACTTTCATTGCCGGTGCAAGCTTGCCATGCCTGCTCGATGCCACAGGCTTCCCATCTGAGCTCCCGGACGCGACAGGCTCACCGATGGGAGCAAATGCATCCTTGACGCATCGGTCAGAACGTAGTGAAACCCGTGACCCGCACAACGATCATCGAGGATCCCACAGTGCCCGTGATCTTGCACAATCAGAAACCAATCAAACACCGCAAACTTAACTTTGGAGGTTACCCGTCCTCGAAGTCATCCTCGCCCGCTAAAGATCGCGTGAGCACAGTGCCTTGCAGCGCCCCGAGCGACTTCCTTTCCAATCAGGCAAAACCGCTGTTGCCTTCTGGCGCTGCAAGCCCTTGTGTCAGCCAAGGGCTCCTTTCTTGGCAGCGCGGTGAAGCAACTTTCAAGAGCATTTCGGAGTCTCCTTCGCACCATGTCTTCCTCCATCCAGGAAGCAACTGTCGTGGCACATACGTTCATCGGAATCCTTAGATGCTAGAAGCTGCGAGCATCACACTGCGGCACGAATACACTTGAAGGAACATGATGCCGTCGCCTTGTCTAGGCTGCAACCGTGGCACTCCTGACCATCAGCTGAATTTCGTACCTCGGCTGACAGGAAAGGTCACGATGTCCAAATCACTAACAGCGAGGGCTTAAGGACACCCGGCTCAAGAGGCATTCGTTTGGCATCTTGGGGTCTCGGCTCCCCGACTACACTGCGACACTGACTTGGACTGTATTCTGTTATGACAGCTGGCACCAAAGTGCACAGAACAGGCTTCGAAGTCGGCCACACACTCTCTCAGCTTCTTGGACTTTCCCTGCCTCGTAGCTCAGCTGCGGCTCATCGTCGCGACGCTGGTGGATTCTCAACAAGACCTGCGAGGGTTTGAGGGGCGGTTGGAGACCCTTTGCCTTGTAGACACTGACACACATCTCTGGCCTTTCCCACGCCGCCTCCCGGGGGCTGAGGGTCCCCGAGTCTGGGAAAAGCCGGGCGAGCCTCTAGACGAACGTCGGTTTCAGGAACACGGTTTGCTGTCACATCGCTTCCGCTAGCGATGTCAACTTATGGCTGTCGCATCACTGGCAAAAGCAGCAATGTGGATCACGTCCCTTTCTGGGAGCTTACAACTGCTCCTCCCACTTGCTGCTGCTTCTGGCACACGAATAAAGAGGACGCCTCCTCGTCGTCAGCAAGCTGAGCTGCAATGGCATACCCCTGATCGGCGCACGAAACAGGACGCAGTTAAATTGCAAGCACCCACTATGATTGATGCATGCTAGCATAGAGCATTCCCACCGCTCCGCTTGAGATGAGTCCAACTTCTACTGATGCATAGCCTAGCACATTAAGCATGGCATTGAAAGGCCAGAAATGCCAAGCTGAAACCGGACGTCAACAAGCAATGCGAACTTCAGCCCAGCTTATGGCAAGTGACCGTTTCCTCAGCCACAAAACCCCTCCCAAACACGCACACACAAACACACACATAAAGAAATAACTGTCGGAACTTCTTCGAAAAGGGAGGTGTAACATCCATGCCGCATCCGATCTGTTGAAACTGATTGCTGCTGAGAAGCACCGCCGGGTCCATGCAGCATGGCTTGGAGTGGCTGACAGATAACATGGTAGGAAAGTTGTGAGAACGTTGTTTGAGCTTGCATGACCTGCTTGCTGAATCAGTCGCACGAACATGCAGTAGTGCAGAACAAAGCGTGTCTCATCACGACGAGACCGCCGGTTTGACCTGAAGTGCTGGAAGTTGTCACTGATTCTGAATGCGCTGGTGTGGCGCAGGGCGCTGCTCCCATCCAGCGGCGTGAAATACTAAGGCCTCTCCCACTCCAATAAATTCTGCACACACGGGAAATCAATCGACAGCCATGCGACCAATAATGTGCACGGCGGATGCACCCGCGGCCGAAGGCAAGGAATGAAGCGCTGCACGACAAGGCCACCAATGCGCACGTCCTTCACGCAGAGATCTTTCAGGAACCGTTCATTGTATCATCATCTCTCTTCTTGTTCTTGCGTCATCACTGACACCCTGTACTACTGTCAAACATTGCGGGATTCCTTGCAGAGATTCGCGGCAGGCTGCAGAACACAGCCCCCGTACACAAAGACAGTAAGTCCACCAGTGTCATTCAGGGGCACGCCCCGGCTTCACGTGCAGCTAACTGCCAGGCAAAAAAAGTTTGCTGGATCTGCGACTCACAAGTTCAGTTCGCAAGCTACCCTGTTCAGCAAGATAGGCTCCACTCAGTCTCCTCTCCGTTCATGAGAACTGTCCGTCTCAACCTCAGATGCAGGGGGAGTTGAAGCCAAGCTGCACTGCTCTCGATGTGATCGACCAGGACTGGCATAAGGTGCAGACAAGTCTTGCAGCCTCGGTACGTGGTGAGTGCTCGGGATACAAACGCAAGGGGCACACCGGCAGCAGAACAATGGAGGCCATGAGCAAATCTGAAACATCCTCAGCACCCAGCCATTGCAGGCTCGGCAAGTTGCGCGGAGAGGGCCTGGTCTTTGCAGATTTTGTGTTTTCTGCAGCCCAAGCATCAAGCAACTCAGCCTGATTCTAACCTCTGGTTGTTTAGCTCAGCTTCGAAAGTAAACTGCAGGAGGAGCGTCCAGCTGAGCATCTGGCACGGTCTGCTTGACGGCCGGCGGGATACCTCAAAGAAACACACAAGAGCAGATTAAAAGACTGCACAGCTTCGACGTGGAGCCAGCGCCGTGGCGCGAGGCGCCGGCGCCTCCCTGGCCCTGGCCCGCGGGGCCTGGGCGACAGCTGGGAGCGCTCCCAGGCGGGAGCGCAGCGCTGGGCGGAGCTTCTGACCTGGGCCGCCCGCCGGAAGGGTGCACAAAGCACAAGTTCTTTCCTTGAAGGGGTGATATTTCCTCATGTTCTCTTTTCCGAAAGCGCTTGGCTTCCCTCCTCCAGTTGCTCCTCGACTCTCATCCGCCCTAAGACTTTGGCCACAAGGTCAGGTCAAGAAACCATCCGAGCCTTTAGAGAGATCTCAAATAAAGGTTGCAGGAGATGCTCCCCCCTCCTCCGGCTTCTACTCTTCTATCAATCGCACGAGATCGGTGCCGAAGATGCAGTCCCATCTGCTCCTCAAAGTCCCCCACCCTTGCTGGGGTTGCTTCACAGTCTGCTCTATGCTCAGCGTCGACATGACCAAAACCGTCCGGAAGGCCGCATCGTTGGTCATACTTCGATCTCCCAAAGTTCGACAGTCTGCGTTGGCGCGGCTGCGTCTTGCCCTGCCGCAACTCCCGAAGCCTCAAAGTACTGTGAATTGCTCGTAGCAGCTCTCCCTCCTCTCCTGTCAGGCTTGCGGATACTGCTGATGTAGGAATAGACTGACCAGACCGGACAGCTGATGACTCAGATTGATACATCTTGCGGCACAAAATATTAGCAGACTCGGCGCGATGGTTTGCACCACAACCGGGGCAGACACGATGGAAGACTTCACAAAACTTGACGGCTCGCGCTCAGACTCCAGCCGTCTCAACGCGAGGCTCTGGAAGCATTCCTTGCAGGAAGGGTTTGTGCGACGCCTGCGCAATCCCGCTAGACCACTTAGGCTTCTCATGCTCTGTGGGCAGCGGGCCTCGGACTGCACGGTGGCCTCGCTCTCCGAGAAGCTCTGCGAAGCCTCCCAGGCCAAGCGCAGAGGCGCCACCAACCCAGCAGAGTAATCCTTTGTTCTCTGCACCTGCTGATGCTCCTGCGCGGCCAGGAGCACCTGCCCCACGCTTACCGTAAGCGAGGCATCAGCTCGACAATTTTCGCAAGGTTGCCACGGGCAGCCAGGCGTTGCAATCGCGATCGAACATGCATGCCGAAGTTGCCAAAAGTGCTGCGATATCAGAGGACACGAGGACAGTGGATGTCTCGTCACGTATCTTGCATAGGCGGGTTGATACACACGGTACAGCAGCTATTTCGATGAGCTCTAGCAGATGCTGACACGGCGAGCTTGCGTGCACAATGACGCACCCTGATGCTTGCTGGTACATCTGTTCCGCTGCTTCCAGAAACCAATCTTCGCTTCAAACCGAAGCAGATTCCGAAAATGCAGAGAAAAAACAATAAGCAAACAAGATTGAATGACTGGCGACACACCCCCCTTGCCGAATCCAGATGGGCATCACCTTCATGGATGAGCTGGATCTGAAGCGTTGTCCCACCTGGCCACACACTGGCCATGACGAGAATTTTTTGCACAGCAGCCAACATTTGGACCAGAGAGCTGCCTCGGGAGTACACTCTGCTGATGAGATGCCGTCGACATCGTTCAGGATGTCTTCCTGCGTGCGCATTGCAAAGAGACGTTTCGTGAAACTCGAGAAGTCGGCACTTGCAGCCACCATCGAGATTCATCTTTTCGGCATGTGAAGGTCCCTCTAACGCATCAACACCCCGAGCACTAGCACAGGGTTCCCTTCAGGATCTGACGCAGGACCGAAATGTCTCCGCATATGGAGCGACACTGCATTGCTGGTGCGTTCTCATTATTGATTATCGACCCTTTCGATGCACGACTTCTTGTACTTGTTACTAGTTCCGGCGATGAAGGTCAACATCACGGCTCACGATCTATGATCGGGCGCCTAGTGACACCTGTGGTGTCACACTCAGCTCACTCTCCTGCCCACTCAAGCGCCGGACGACACCTGGGCGCAGTCACCAGTTGCCCGGCGAAGCCGATCATCGAGAGCCGTGTCGTGACCGTGCCACTCAGCTGTGAATTAGAGACTGCAAACTTCTCGTCGTTCGATCAAACACCAACTTCGTGCGGGCTTCACTCGATACTTTCCGAGTCCATCAATCCTTCACATCTCAAAGAGACACGAGGATGTGCTCGTTGGCTTAAGTAATGGACATGCTTCCAGATTTGTCCGAGCTGCCAATGCTGTCTAAGGAGGGGAAGCTGGCCTGAGCCGATGCGGAAACAGTCAATGAACTGCAGCGGACTCTGTCAGACAGCGCATGCATTGCCGTCAAAAAATGAACAACTCCGATGTTGGTCGCAACAAGTTTCTGCCATCGGTCTCTCGAGCGTGCTGCACGGCTGGCAAAGCTGTTGAAAAGATTTCTGCTGATGGAGTTACGACCGTGTGCTCTCATCTGCTCGGTGCTCGTTAGCAAAACGAGTTGCATTCGTCTGGAGCTAAGTGAGCCAAGGTGCTGAGTCCACCGCTTGCTGCGGAAGCACAACTTCAAAGACTTCGGCCGGCTGGACGCTCTGACATTTGGCGCAACGAGGCAGAACCAGAAAATGTGTGCGCGTACAGCTGCTCGAACACGGCTGCTCGAACACGGACCGCTGCTAATTGGCTCATGCCGTACAAAATTCACATTGAATTGAGTAGTTTATAACAGTTTCTTAGTTCGATAAGCTTCGTCCCTGGTGTGAAGCACAAAACCGGAAAGTCCGCTCCGTCCTTGCGGGGCATGTCCGGCTTCTTCTTCGCCTTGACCTGCTCGGATTTGGCCTTGCTTTCTTCACCTTGAACAACAGTGTCGGCTGAGCTCCAGTATGTGACAAGACATCAGAAGCCTGCAAGACTTGTGCAACTTGTGTTTCAACCACACCTGAGCTTGGTTTGTATCGCTTCAACATGCCAGCAGCTTCTGCTGGACCAAGGAGCAGCCAGCGGGGCCCGGCGCAGCAACTGCGGCGGTGACTTTTCTAGCCTTCCAGCTCCACACATGAATTTCGGCGAACTGGATAGGTTTTTAAAAAAAACTATGAATTTCAGCGAACTTTGCGAAAAGGAGTATGCAGAAGCTACACTCACTTTGCCTTCGTACACATGCGCACATGTGCAGATGTATGCATGCATGTGTACATATTGTATGTACAGCAGTACAGCATACTTGCCTTCTTACCAGGTAGGGGGCCTACGTTGTCTTTCTGTTTAGACTAGAGTTTTGCGTTTAGAGTTTGCAGTTTATGAGGCCAACTGGTTTTGCTAGGTTCGGTTCGTACTGTTGATTAACATGGCTGCGGAAAGACCACGTGGCTGAAGCACAGGGGGTTTACGTTTGAATCGCCTCTTCTTGATACCCAGCCCCGTCCGCATGTCACTTGGCATGCTTACCCCATAGCCTGTCGAGGCATACTCTACCCAGGCTCTACTCGTCGATAAATGGGTTGATTGACGGATGGATTGATTCCAAGCACGTGCATGTTGCGAGAGCTTCTTCTGCCTTGATACTAGTCAAGTTGCCGAAGCAGCCCGCTGCCGTGCAGTCGTGCGCTGACCTCACCCAAAGCAATCCTCCTACAATAATCAATAATACGACTGAAACACGGCAGGAGCCTCCTGGCACATCTCGTGGAGTAACCAACGGCTCTCGAGATGCAGTATATTGTGCCTGAACATTTGGTGCTCGCTACTCTCTTGGTCAAACCGCAGTCTGGGTACACTGGCGAAGCCTTGGATTTCGCCTCCTTCACCGCGCGCTTTTCATTGATGCCGACCTGAAGCAAGAGGCGAGCTGCATTTCGGCGGTTGAGGGCACTAGAAGCCGCCGAGGCCTCGATGCCACTCATCTGGAAGGTGCGTGAGTTGGAGCCTCGTGATGCAACGGCGCAACGAAAGCGGCCGGTTCGGTTCACTGCCGAGGGGCGAAGCTTGATTTGCGGCCTCCGCTTGAAACCCTCTCCCGGAGCCGCTTCGGGAGTCCTGCCGGCACGGCAGCTCGCACTCTCTGTAGAACGCTGCCTTTATCAGTCAGTGCGACTTCAGAAAGCGGTAAGCCGAAAGACTTTCTCGTTACGCCTCCATTGCATAAAGCCCCAGATGCAGTATGTCCTTGGTGTAGACGGCTTAGGCCGGTTCACCGCCTCATCCTTCACCGAAACAGCTGAGTCCTGGCTGACAGACGTCACAGGCCGGGCAAAGCAACTCCGATTGCAGACATCCAACAGCCAGGCAGAGCCCAGCCCGCCTTCAGATGGCTGAAAGTCACGACCTTCTTCGCCTAAAGCGGTGAAGGCTCACAAATGTTTTTGCAATCTGCCACGTAGCAACCAGTACTTGGGTCTCCGCAGGGACAGGTGTGGCTGGCTTCTGGAGTGAGCCTCCACCGCAAGCATCAGTGTTCATCGGACAGGTGGAAAGAGTGCCAGTGCAGTACGTTCAAGGCACGTTGAAACATCGGGGATTCCGCCTTCATGCGGCATTGGCGTTGCGGAGCTTCCAACCGGCACAAGGGCGTCGCCTGTTCAAACGCCAACTCTCAAAGAAACGCTTGCAACAATCGCTGCGCTAACGACATGTTAGCCCAAAATCCTACTAGGGTGCAGTGGCTCCTGTCCTTTTGGATGGTCGAGTCGCATAAATGCGCCCGGCCGAGCACACCGCCCCGAAAACCGGTGAGGATCACCATGGCGTCGTCGACCGGTGCACGTACACGGCACCACCCTTCGCGAGCTGCCCTGGAGTCGTCGCCCCGGGAGACGGCGTCTGAAACGTTGGCCTCCGAGGGGACCCTGTAGAACTCCGCGCACCACGCCCGGTCCGCCGCAAGGCCCCAAAAGGAAGCGAGGATGCAATTCATGCTACCAGCCATAGCCCTTCATAAGGGCGAACTGCCCGGCGACGTTGTCGATGAAGGCTATCCAGTGTTGGGGCAACCGCCTGGCGAAGGTGATAATCGGGAGCACCTGCGCCAAAATTTCGAGCACAGCAGCACATAGATGAACGCCAGGCGGGACGCGAAGGGCTTGAGGTACTCGGGCTTGATGACGCCGAAGTCGTAGAACACCTGGCCCTCGAGGAGGAACACGAAGCCCCAGCCGTTCTTCCACCTGGCCGAGCGGGGCACAGGCACAGGGTCACCCGGCTGGAGGTGGCCCACCTTCTAGCGCAGGTCGCCCTCCAAGAAGAAGGCGTCAGCGTACAGAACTGGGACCGATGTCGTGACCGCCCCCGGCCACGGTATCACCCGAGGTCGGGCGGAAGACACCAGGCGGCGAAGGGCCATGAGGGCCGAGCGGAGCCCGACCGAAAGCGAATCATCCGAGTTCGCTGCAGTGTCGGCCGCCCTAGCGTAGAGCGGCTTGATGGCCGCCCGGCCGGTGCAGCCGAAGATGGACTGACTGAAGAACGTCAGCCGGCCACTTCGCCATGTGCTTCGGCGCGGCGGCGAGCGTCTAGAACTTCAACCGGGCGGCGGACGCGGTCCAGATGCTCGCCAGGGCCCTGCTCCTCGTCCTCTTCGGGCACTTCGTGGACGATTTCAACGGTGTGGAGGACGAGGACTCCGCCGACTTTGCCCTCGCCGACTTCTTCGCCTTGCTTGGCCTTCAAACGAAGCCCTCCAAGGCCCAGCCGCCGGCCAAGGAGCACGTCGTCCAGGGCGTCTCGGCGCGTGTCGCCCCGGAGGGCGTCGAGTTGCGCCCCACTGCCGACCGGACGAAGAAGATCCTCCGGCAGATCGACCGGGCCTTGCAACACGACGCCCTGAAACCTGACGTGGCATCCAAGCTGGCCGGAACCACAGGGTGGTCCCACCGCGGTCGGGAGGAACGTCCCGCAATGCCTGAGAACCTCACCGCCCATTGGCGGTAGGCGTTCTGCAAGTCGTGCCCAAAGAGCACCGGGTCCCAGCCCGAGGCGACCGCCCGGCGGACGAGGTCGACGATGTCGCCAAGGAAGTGGTGTGTCGGGACGTCGTGCGCCCTCATCGTGGCGTTGTGTCCCGGCAAGGGCCAACCACTCGCTTCCAGCGGGCCTCTGAGGTCGATCGTGTGCTCAGAGTTGTGGGGGCGGAGGGTCTTGGCCGCGTCGTAGCCTCGCCCAGTGTCGAAGCCTTCCTCGAGGTCGGTGCGTAGGTCCTGAATCGCCGGCTATCCTCCCCTTTGGAGCAAGTGCACAAGGAGAGGGCCCTGAAAGGTCCGAGGGCGATCAGATGTGCAATATGCCCGACGTGGTGCGGGCGGGCCTCCAACCACGTGGGTCTCATCCTGGAGGTCGGCCACCATGCCCTCCAGCTCCTCGATGACCTGCCGTCTGATGCGGACCATGTCGTGGCGTTGGCGCCCTTCCTTCCTCCCTTGGCGCCTTTCTTTCCTTTGCGGCCCGGGCGGAGCCGCCAAGAAAGTCGCCCCTGCGACACGCAGGCGTGTAGACCAGCCGTTCCACCCGGCGTGGTCCGTCCAGCGGTTCTCCAGGCCCGCCGCCTCCAGCACCAAGGTCAGGAAGGAGAGGGATTCGGCCTTCGACCTCACGTCGCCCGAGACGCCAGGGAAGAGCGGGGACGAAGAAGTCAAGCGCCCCGCCCTCTGAAGGCGAGCGAAGTGGCGGCGATCTCGATCTCGCGCAGCATGAACCACGTCGCCAGAACCAGGACGTCGGCGGAGTGGGCGACGACCGCCGGGTCAAAGGCGACGTCGCAACAAAAGATGACGAGGACGCCCAGGTCGACGAGAGGGAAAGCCTCCTTGAGGCGGGGTCCCGCACGATGGACTTAAAACCGCCCGGTCAGGACCCAGCCAAAGAAGTACTCCTTGGCGCTGCGGTAGCCGCCCTTCTTGAAGGCCCGCCCCCAATGCTTCGATGGTCTCGGCGGTGACGGGCCAAGGGTCGACCTTGCCTGGTAAGAGAGATCCAAGTCTTCAGCCGGGAGGCGTAGGGCCCCTTCGAGGTCTCGGCCAGGTAGCCGTCCCGGAGCTCCTCGACGGCCCTCTTCCGGTTCTCGGGCCGCAGAGCGTCCAGCACCGCCTCAAACCTAGCGCGCCCCGCGCCCTCCTACGCGGGACGTCTGGACGACCGACCCCTGCGGCCGTCTGAAGCACCGCCAGCGCGGTCACTGCCGCGGGCGGTGGCGGAGCGGCCAAGACAGGCTCCAGGGCCGTGGGCGGAACGCCCGCCTTGGCCAAGACGTTGAGGCGAGAAAGGAGGTCGGGGATACACTTGACCCCATAATAGCCGGCAAATGCTCAGTCTGGCCGGTAGCTGATTGGGCGAAGGCACTGCCCCTGTGCCGCGAAGGGCCCGGGGCAACGGGCAAAACACCACCCAATGTAACGGGTGCCGTCCGTGAGCGGATCCCTGGGCAGAGGACCGCCCCTGACGTCTGAGGGGAGCCTGCGCAGGACGATGCCCGCGGTGGGGTTCGGTGGGAGGACGGCGGTGCTTTCCACAGCTCCTCGGCGTCGGACCAACTGTCGACGGCCGCCCCGACGAGGGTGTGCGGGATCTCCTTCTCCAAAAAATCTGCGCCCGGGCGGTTCTTGGGGAGGCGATAGTTGTCCCAGCGCTTCTGGGCGGTGAGGAGGGTGCCGTCCTGGCGGTGGCGATTCTTTGTCCCATAGCCACTGCGGCCGCTGACGACAGTGGTGGGGACCCAGGCGGAATGCCCGCGCAGGCGGCTGACGAGCTGGACGAAGCTGCCGCTGAAGCCGGAAATGACGTAGCCAGCATTGGCGGGGTACTCCCGCCGAGGCGCTAGGTGATCCTGCTCTGGGTTCGCCCCGGCGCCTGTGGAACCACCTCGGGCGGCTGCTGCCCGGACGCCTTATAGGCGGCGGAGGCTGTGACAGCATCTCGCGCTCGATGCGTGACCGCATGGCGTCTTGGTACGTGGCGTCATAGTGCAGGGGGCCCATGCCGGCTAGCGCGCGCTGGGCGTTCTCCTGATCAATCGCCCGGCGCTGGACCTCATAGGGCGGAGTCTTGGGTCCCGAAGTCGACGCCTCAGGAGGCGGGACCGGCGCCCTCTTGATGGGCGGGGGGCCGCCTGAACGCCCAAAGGTGGCGGAGCCGCTTGATTCAGCCCACCAGCCGGCTGCACTGCCTTAGGCGCGTCGCCCGTCGCCGCAGCATCCACTTCGCCCAAAGGAGGCGGCGCGGCCTTGACGAACGGTTTAGGCACCGTCACGTGCGCGACAACAATTCTGGAGGAGGCGCCTTCTTTGGCGGCTTGGCGGCTGCCGAAGACGACGCCACGCCCGAAGGGCGACCAGAAGACGACGATGTCGTAGGCGGTTGGGTCGACGGCGGTGGCGGTGGCGGCGTGAGCCCAGGCTGCTTGGGCCAGCGCACCGTAGCACCCGCCGGGTTTGGGGCGTTGGCAAAGTCGTGTCTGGCGGTGCTTTGGGCGTGGCGTTGGCGAGGTCCAGGAGATAGCCCGCCAGCCCAGTCTCGCCCTCCAAGTCGTCGTCACCGTCGTCCGGGACGGGAAGGTCGATCGCCGCCCCTTCCAGTACCGCCTGGCCTCAGGGGCAGAGGGACCGGGCACCACCGAAAAAGACGCCCCGGCGGGGCGAGCCAAGCCTCAGCAGGCGTGCCGCCCGACGGGGCCCCCGAAAACGCCGAAGGGACCGGCAAGGGCGATGGCGTAGCCGACAATGCCGTACTTGGTGGGGGCAAAGTCCCCAACAGCGAAGGCGGCGACGATAATGGCGATGTGGGGGGGGCCCAGCAGCCGGCTGGGCTGAGCTGCACGCCGACATCAGGCGAGCCAAATTGCCCGACGACAAGGCACCCACAGCGGCGGTGAGCTCGTCGTCGGAGCAGCCGTAGACGAAATTGGCGATAAATACATGGCCCTCCGTCTGGGCGTAGGCGTCCGAGACGGAGGGCGGTGCCGGGGCGCCCCAGGCGGGCGCTGTGATGATCACCTCCTCCTCGTCGCCCGAAAGGGCGTCGATCGCCCCAACCTCCAACGACGTAGTAGGCGCCGCCGTCGACGTAGGCGGCACCCAGTCCAACACCTCAGCCTCGTCGGCCGAGCCAACCGCCCGGGCGGCGGCAGCGGCGGAGGCGGCGGCGGAGGCGTTCGATCCAGCCGACATGACCAGAGCGAGGCGGGGCGAAAGGACGAGGGGAAATTCGAAAAGGCGATCGAGCCGGCAAGCTGCGGTCGATCGCTGACGATTGTTCCTACACGCACACGTGCGTTACACAGCAATCCCCATGGAACACTTTCCGGCCTGCTGACCATGGTCGGTCAGCAACAGGCATGTCCGGCACCTCCGGCCGCTTCGAAAACGCTGAGCTCTCCTCCGTTCTGAACCATGGCCGCACTTGGGGGCTTCATTGGTGCATGATGTCAACGCTACTTGTCCCATAAGCTGCCCTGCAGGACCAAGCTCCAGAATTGGGCCTGCACCTCAACCTCCCAAACGGCATAATTTTACACAAATCTCATCATCCAGAAGGCTCCAAACCAAGGTGTCCTGTGCCATCATGACCTATGCAGGGCGAGGCCAGCATGAGTGGAATGCCACAACTGCAACATTGCCCAACATGTCAGTGTCTGGTTTGGCCGCGAACGCCTCGTCGTTCATTCGGAAGGTCTTCCAAAGCAGAGGTCGATGATGAACAAACCGTGCCTTGGCTTCAAAAGGACAAATCACGTCATCACGTCAGGCCATGCCACCGAAGAGTAGCGAGGCGGTTTGCAGAGGAGAACTGAAACGACTTATGTTCATCTTAACCGTCAAAGCATGGCCGTCAAAGCATTGTTTGATTCGGATGTGCGCGGGCCTGGTGATGAGTTTGCACCAAAATGCTTGCTCTGTTGCACAGAAAGGAGAATGTAGGAGAACGATGAATGTGATCCGAACTCCATCCTAGTGTTGTTTTCAGAGATTCACATCCGCAGGCAAGTTGAAGCAGGAAACAAAGCACGCTGCGATGCTCGCAGTTTTGGCAACTTCCACCCTCACCAACGACTTCGGAAATGCAACAGTAGCTACACTAGCTTATCATAATGATGCCCTGGTGCGTTGGCCACCATAGTCGATGTCCCCTGCGGCCCCGGAACAGGCTCACTTTGTTGGGAAGCCTGTCAAATCAATCAATCAATCAATCAATCAATCAATCCAATGCTGTTCTGAATCGATGTCGCAGAATCGTGTTCTGCTGCAACAGGAAACAGGCAATGTAATTAGCCTCATTTGAGATTGGATTCGTCAAACCCACCAACGAACTCTCGACACTATCTGCCGGCGGATACGCACACTTTGCTCACGCGCGGCCGTGTGGCATCAACCCTTGGCCTTGACCGGGACCGGCATACGGCTTCCTTGCTCCTCGTGTGAGAGGTGCATGTGCATGAAGAAGTCGCGCTCCTTCATGTCTTTGCTTGAACCCTGGGCCCGTGGTGGACTGGTGGCCTGTAGACGGGCTCCTGATGCATGTAGATCCATTCTGACTCCGGGTGCACGTCGTTGCCGAAGTGCTTGCAAACTGCTTCCAAAGCCACCATACCTGGCCCGCTGTGGCCAGGGCCCACTCAAATTATTTTTGTTGGTTCGCTCGATGATCTGGCAATGCGGCCTGCTTTTCTCACGCAAACATGAGTGGTCCAACAAGCAGATGCTGCATGCTGTCAGGAGAACACAAGACCCGCTTTCCCGAGCTGGGGCAGGCATGTGATCCAGACGGATGGCATCTATCCGACGCGTGCAGGCTTTGTTACCGTCTCAATATGTCTCAATCATTTCTAATGAACTTCACGAGTAAATGCCTGCACATGCCTACATCCATGAAGAGCACAATAAGCTTGTGGCAACAGATTCAACCTTGCCAACTCGCACTCGACAAAGTCTTCACGTATGACGAATAAGGACTCACACTTCTGCAAGCAGTTTGTTTCGGATGTGAGTGCTAGAGATTTGAGAACAAGCGTACTGACCGAAACAGTTTTACTGCCGAGGCCAGAAGAGCGCGGTGTCTGAGGATCAGGCACTTAGAAAGCCATGGGAAGTTGAACCTTGGAAAGCAGATTTCGTTGGTTTTGGAACGTGCGTCTAGCAGATTGCTGGGTCCACTGCAAGTCCAACGCTCCCAGCACCGCCAAGTGTGCGTGGCAGTGGCAATCGCCAAATACGGGGACTTGGACCGGCTTCCTCACTCATGGCAGAAAGCAAGGTTCGACGCAAGCATTGCGGATTGCAAGGACTTTGCGAATCGGATGGAGAGACACAGATCGTGAGAGCGACAGACTCACAGAGTCCGAGGGTCAGCGAGTCAGGAAGTCTGGAAGAATGAGGGAGAGAGGGCGGGAGGGAGGGAGGGAGGGAGGGAGGGGGGGAGGAGAGGAGGAGGGAGAGAGAAGGGAGAAGCAGGGACGCCGACAGAGACAAACAGACGCCCACACAGATGGCAGCAAAGCTGGCAGACAGAGAAAGCCTCTAAGGCAAGCAAAGGCACAGAGACAGAGAGAGCGACAGAGAGCTAGAGAGAGAGAGAGAGAGAGACAAACACACACACACACACAGACAGACAGACACACACACACACGTACGCGCGTGCGTGCGCGTGCGGGCGCAAACGGAGAAAGATCAACCTGCTGTGGCAGCCAAGGCACCAGAAAGTACAGATGTCCGCCACCGGCACAGAACCCGCTGGCCGCTGCATCCAAGGTAAGATTGCCATCGAGGTATCCATCCGACTTCCGGTGAACGTGAAGCCTCTCAACAACAGGAAAGCATGCATGTAGCACCATAAGACTCATAAGACTCTAAGACGAAGCAACAGAGAAAAAAAACAGCGAGTTCTCGAAGAACCTATATAGTACTATATAGTATTATATAGCTATGTTACGTTTTATAGATGACACGCACGCCCAATTTCTTCACCCTGCCACACTCGTGGATGTTTCGGAGACCCGAAAAGACCCTAACACCCGAATTACAGGGGCTGCTCCTCACCCGCCAGTGCCAAACCTGATCTTGCGCCGCGGGGTGGGAACCGAGGTAATACTAAACAATCATTCCATATACCTGCAGGCCAATTTACAGTGCTGGGCCTCAAGGATGCTACAGACATCTACAGCAGCTATAGCCGGCGGGAGCCTGCCTTTAACAGTTTCCGGCATCCAGTCTCGGGGTGGAGCTCATGGTGCTGTGGCACATTGCCTCTAACTCTTTGTCCGTACTCCTCTTCCATACTGGGTGCCATGGCCTGTGGCCTCGTAACAACCTCCATCCCTTCCCTTTTCGTGTATGGTGTCTCGACTAGACGTCTCGCCTACTAGTTGGACTTGAGATGATTGGCAGTTCTGCGGGACTTTGTTCTAGTCGCGCCGAAACGTGGCAAACGATGATTGCGCTTGACGGAGCCGTCACAAATTGCGGTCGAAACACACAGCCAGCCCAAGGCCCAATCCCGTAAGAGCATCAGAGAGGGTCCTCTTCGCCTACAAGGTAGCCTCCCACGAAGCGACGTGATAAATCCGACGCGGGGCGCGGATTTGACCCATGCTTGCCACCCCCCCCCACCCACCCCGTTCACTGATCGCCTCATGCAAGTACCCAATCTGCTCTGCTGGACAAGAGAATCCCGAACCTGTTGAATCGGTCGTAGGATGTGGGGCGCCAATTTCACATGGACACGCAGGATCGATCAACCCTGATTTGAGACACATCATCAGAAGGTGTGAAACGTTGCTCTACTTAGGTGTCTTCGCCTGCACTGCACTCCGTAGCAAAATGTGAGAAGGTTCTGTCTTCGACACGTAGTTGTGACGGCAGCACCTTGCCTGGTACCGTTTGCCGCCAAGACAGCGAAGTGGTGATCGCCAACAGCTCTCACTGCACCTGAAAACAGGGGATCAGCCCATCTCCCGCATCAGACTGAACTCGACCCCGGCGACCCAGCGAGTTCCAGCGCACCTGGCGTCCAGTAGCTTTCCTCTTTCTCAACCAGCGCCTGCCTCAAGACGCTCAGGCTCGCGACGTACAAACTCGCTCAGCCGGAAAGAGTCGAAGACCCCTGTGGACTGCTGTATCAATGCATCCCGTTTTGTGGCTCAGTGGCACAGGCGCCACTCGCCCGGAACGGCCAGCTTTCTCGGCCAGGCGAACCTTGGAGAAAAGATGTCTTGAGTCTTCAGTCTAACGTTCCAGGACCCGTGGACCCCATGAAACAAACCACTTGCAAGCAAGTAGCAACACGCCCACGGGAAGTGCCAAGCAGCACGCAGCCGGCCCATGCACTTTGGCCTGAAATTGACTTGGTGAGAGAACATGCTTGCATTGTTGCGTCGTTGCGTTGCAGGGCCAGGCCAGCCTTTGCACCAGGCGTCGGCAGTTAAAGTCACTGCCTGGCTCGTTTGGAGCAGTGCTTCTGACCGAAACGACAATTAAGAAGCCGGTCCTTCTCAACTCGTGCATGTGGCTGTCCGCTTGTCGCGTCAGCACCTACTCGGAGCTCCTCAACAAGCACGAGGTATTGTCCATGATGCACAACAAATCCAGCAGCTAAGGGACGACATGCGCCGTGGTCAAAACCTGTATTCAACTTAACTAGCACATGGACATTGATGCACAGGCAGGGGGACCCGGACGACTGCTGCAGAATGGACGCCAGCACGCAAGCGCCAAAGTTGGTATTACACCAACTGAAAACTAAATGTGTGAGTTTCAAGAGGACCACTCAGGCTCGTTTTTGATCGGAACGCGCAGAGAACCCAAGCGACCATTCCTTCTGCAGACAGAGCCCACGCGACGCAGCGGGAGCGAAGACGCCACAGTGGCCAGCGAAGCTATCAAACAATAGAATGGTAGATAAACAGCAGCGTCGTAACATGCACTAGTATATGACTCTGCAGGCACTCATGTGACACATGTGTGCGGCCATGCGCTCGAGGGCAACAGCGGCACACTTACATTTCACCTTCGCGGAGTTCTAAACGAAGGATGCCCAAAACGCCATCCTAAACATGGTCGAGAGACAGAAGCTGATTTGCCTTGGCCAGATCAGATGGAGGTAGAAAGAGCAACACGGATCCTCAAGTACCGGAGTGAGGCAGACTTATCTGTCCTCACTGCCATAGCAGTCTACACCCAGCTACCCGGCAAACAACGTCACTTCAAGACTTAGCCAAAGGGGAGTACCAGATGCTTACCGAGCACAAAACCGAATCACGATCACCATGCAGGGCCTGACGCAAAAAGGCAGCAGAGTTCGACCTCAATACCGTGCACATGACAGTGCCAAAGCGGAGGACCCAGGACGACGCCATGCGCCATACCGCGGCTGCCAGGCCACGGGGCTTGCAACAAGGGCGGGGTACCAAAAGACGCCCAAAAGGAGTTTTCGAAGCACCACGATACCAAATTGCACGAGCCAAAAACGACGTCCTTGCGACTTCTTCGTGCACACAAATTCATGGCTGTGGTTGACAGCTGCACAGTGAAATAGCAGTAGATATGGCGCAGCTTCATTGCGAGACCCCGATTCCCGTCCTCCAGCCAGGAATCCGAGACATCTGCCTGGTAGCTACCTCCAGAACCGATGCTGAAGGATTCCCACATGCTGTGGAGATGCCGACCTGCAGAATCCTCGCTGCCAAGGCGGCAGGAACTGATTCGCTTTCCGTGGCCATGGAGGACCTGAGCTCACACTCCATAGCTCGGGGTGCTCTGTTTCGGGCCAAGCCCAAAGCGGCGTCTGAGGTCTGTGCCAGGGCTTCGCAGTGCCCGCCTGCGCAGTCCACAGCTGCATCGATGAGTCCTGACCACAAGCGACCACAACACTCCGCGGGCTCGGCAGGCTCAGCGTGAATTAGGACTTCTGTCCTTCCCCCAGCACCGGTGGGCAAGGTGCCTGAAGCGCGAGATGGATTGAAGAGACGATAAGATAGACGGGTAGGCAGCGGCATGGCTGCCCGCATTTATTTCTGCAAGGCTGAAGAGAATAACCTTAAGACAGCGTGATATGACGACCAATTGCCCTTACCACGATACGACGATCCAAATCACAAAAGCTGACAGCTGCTACCTAGCAGGTTCCAGGACAATCCACAAAGCACGCATGCTGTCAGACCAGGTAAGCCTCGTCAAAGACCGCCGATACCGGCACCTGCGCCGAATGATTCTGGTCCACGAGCGCGCTGAAGAGTAACAGGCCGTCCTCAGGCGGACTCCCAGTCGACAATGTCCGATTCAACAGGCATTAGCAGAATCAACAGGCAGCTGCTGCCGGTGGACAGAGACCAGAAAGCGCTGGCCCTTCGCATCGCACGCCAGGCCCTGCGGCCTGCAGCCGCAACAGAATCCGTATCAGCTCCTCAGCTCCTCCATCACTCAACCGCTTCCCCCAATCGCCAGGTCCCTGGCAGGACGTTTTCGTAGGGCCACGAAACGGCAAGGATGTCCTTGCTGGTCAGGTGCTCCTCTCCTGGTCCATTGCTCGCTAAAGCGGACCGTTGGATACTGAGCTCAATCTTTGCAAGAGAACACCGCACAATCACAGGCAGCTAC